GGTGATTGGGGCCTTTAGATGCCCTGGAAATGCGCACTCTGACCTGTGGATACCATCGTTCACCAAAAAAGGAGAGAGTGAGCAGCACGCGCATCAGTGTGCACTCTGCGAGCATCTGATACCTCGAAGTGTTCTTTGACTAAGGTTGGGTAAACGGAAGCAGGCAGGACGCCAGGTGGGAGAAGGTGCAGCTCCACGGAAGTTCGGAAGCTATGTATTATTCTCTTGTCCCAACGCAGGTCATGCAGCTCTCTTCGAAATAAGTGCGTGCTCGTCGCACACTACCAGCTGGAGGGGCGTTTCCTTCAATGGTATCTTTCAGTGCTGCTCCTGCTACAGCCGAATGCTTATCCATGGAGAATATTTGACATTCCTTGATTCTTCAATGCTGCCACTTTTCGCAGCCAAATGCATTTCACCAAAGCTGCCACATTTCGCAGCATGCTGAGAGCTGGTGAGCTGTAGAGGTACATACTGCCTAGGATCTCGAAGCTGATAATTTGGTTGACCTCGCTGTTGCTTATGGGGGCTATCGGCCCGGGCAGCTTGGTCCAAAACCCGACTGCATGTTTTTGGCTACAATTGTTAATGCTCGCTGAAATCTCAGCCTGAGGGTTTAGCTGTCTTAAGATGGCCAAGTCCAAGACTTGCCCATATAGTGCCACGCAAAGACGTTCTCGAACGTTTGCGCCACGGAAGGAAGGAAGCAGTAGTCGTAGCAGGAGTAGCAGCGGGAGGAGGAGTAGCGGTCGTAGTCGTAGTCGTAGTCGTAGTAGTAGTAGTAGTAGTAGTAGTAGTAGTAGTAGCAATAGTAGTAGTAGTAGTAGTAGTAGTAGTAGTAGTCGTATTCGTAGTAGTAGTAGTAGTAGTAGTAGTAGCAGTAGCAGTAGCAGTAGTACTAGTAGTAGTAGTAGTAGTAGTAGTAGTAGTAGTAGTACCAGTTTGTTGTCACCCACTGTAGTAGTAGTCGTCGTCGTCCTGGTGGTAGCAGTAGTATATAGTAGCAGCAGCCAGCAGCAGCAGCAGCAGTAGGTGGTGTAGTAGTGGTAGTACTTTTGCTTCATAGTAGGCCTCAGTTCTGGGTCCCGCCGCCCGCCTGCTGCACAAACCAGTCGTGTTGTCGATTTCCCGGACCCATGTCTGCCTGACCTGCAGAGTCAAAGTGAATACTAGCATGCAGGACAGGACTGACCCTTCTGAGCCTCTCCAGTGGTTGAAATCTCGAACAAGCTGGCAACACCCGTTCTGGTTCGAGATCTTATCGAGCCATGGTGCTGCTTCCATGCGATTCCGGTCACGGCTTCCACTTGCAGGAATGATTATCATCAGATCGTAATGCCTCAATTGGACAAGCAAGACGCAGCAAGACTACTGCGCTCGAAGGTGGACATGTGGCACTGAAAGCTAGTCTGTAGCCAACAGTGGCAGAAACCCATCGCTATTTAAACCATGAACAGGCCTGTCGACGACGCCTTCTCAGGGCCACTGGAAACTCCAAGTGCTGATGCGACTACTCATCTACCCTGCCAAGTTGTCAAAATTCACGCTACGGAGCCCGGGAAGGGACCGTGGGGCTCTTGACTACAAGTGCAATTCGGCGGATAGCAGGCTTCGAGTGTTGTCGGGATTTTGCACCGAAACAAACCATGCCACACTTTTTCAATTACTTTGCAGTTCTGCAATGTTCGCCCACTGCCATCCATAGCCCTTCGAGTTTCAGAAGTAGTGCTTCGAGCTGCGGCTTCTTCGTCTGCGGAAGCAACTGCACAGCCGGCTGCGGCAAACTTTGTACCACAGGTAGCACCGCAAAGGGTAGCGCTTCTTGCAAGGTTTGTGTCGGATCTTCTGCTGCTCCTTCCGATGCCGACGGTAGTGCAGCAGTTGGTTCCGCGGCGCTTTTCATGAAGTCTTTCCCTTAGGTTCCGCACTCAGCACAACCTGTACAAACGCTGAGCCATGCAAACCTCAGCGCGACAAGGCTGATCAAGTGCAGTTTGTTGTGACTCAGCCTTCCCCGAAAGTCGGTCGAGCATCAGAACTGCATTGAGGACTCTGATAAGGACGACGACCTGAGATCAGGCTCGCAACTGTGTGCGCTAGTCGCTTGCCGAACCTGGACGAGTTCATTAAGTCGTGAGCCTTTGGCACAAATTGCGCTGGACTCATCTGACTATTCACATCAGGGTGCGCCAATCCAGCTGCACGTTCCCAAACCTCGGAACTCACGGCAGGTCTACAAAGCTAATTTTTCGCGTTGCGTTTGCGACACTTTTGCGAGTGGCCTGTAGCAAGACCACGATCGCCAGGAATAACCAAATCCAGCACCTAAGAATGTTGCGGCAACCCAACGAAACCACTCCACAGTGCATGCAACCTGTTTCAACACAAAGTCGCCTGGAGAGAAAAATGCTTGGATGCTTGGACAAAGGCGCATCCGTCCACTGATGCCTCCACTTCGGGACGACTGCTGCTGATGAGACTGTCCATGTCCTGGAACCAAACGTCCATTCTAAGGCAACTGCAGATGAGTATAGGGCTTTGTTCGCTTTCAGAACGCAAGGCTGACGTTCAGGCTCGGATCCTGCACCACTTTGATGCTGGCCACCTCAGGTCAAGTGGTGTCGTTGTCGTCCACATTGGGCGACATGCATCTAACACCAGTGCACTACCTTCTTACTTTCCAGATTTACAAGACTATATATCCAACTCATTTTGCAACCCGAGCTACAACAACAAACTCTGCTTACTTCCATTGCTGTGGAGGGACGTTCCTGGGCCTGCAGTGTGAGAAAACTCGAATCGTCATCTGCTGCACATGGCGTAGGCATGGGGGGTATGTAGCGTGTTGATCCAATCACTACGTAGGCCACATTCTGTAGGTGCAGGGGTGGTGGCTGAGTCCGACATGCGTCGCGCACGCCCAGTAGTGTAGCTTGCCAATGCTGTCCAGCCTGGTTACATGACTGAAATTTACCACATGTGCGGTATTTTTGTCTGTTGCAGGCTGACCAATGACATCGTAATGCCCGCAGTTGGAGTAGGTAGTTTCGCCGCCACATAGAAGCTTACAGTGTTTTCTCGGGGCGTGCTTGCCCTGCACTCTGAGCAATTCACAAAAATCCGAGTTGCATGGTCTTTGTGCAGAATGCAGGAAGCAACGTGCAACAAGAAACCGAGAAACACCATGATGCAACTGTGACGTCCCTGCATTCCGTTGCTGGCCTGTCTCCGGAAACATGACATCCACTCAGGTTCGGGCCATGTGCTCTTGGACAAAAACTTGTTCAGGCGTTTCACCGCAAAGGCTTCAGTGCCAGCTTGGGATTTGAGGGTGAGCCTCCCTAGCGTTGCAGGATCTTGCGTACCGCAGCCCAGCCAACTGCACTGACATTTTGCATCGCGCATGAGCCCACGGAGCAGTTGGCGTCTCACAAGACTGTTTCCTGGGCTGAGGCAGCAGCTGGCAACCAACTAGTGAAGACAAAGCCTTTGGCTGTCAGGCCAGCATTGCAGCACTGCACATTCGTCCCTCCACAGCTAACCCAAAGAAAGTCGCACCAATTCGCAGCCGTTATTCGCCACAGTAGTTCATATGCATATGCGAGATTCGCAGAGCTTTGCTTTCCTCTTTTCCTCCCCGGATCCAGGTGACTACGGTCCTTCAAGGTGTGCGAGTGATGTGAAGCATGCATTGCATGCCACATCAAGGATCCGACTGGAACCTATGTCAAGTGGTGGCAGGGTCCTTTCAAGTTTCGAACAATGCATCAGCTGACGTTGTGATTAGGATCGCGGATGTGCCCAAGGCCGCACTAGTAGAACTACGCCGCTGTTTGGCTACCCTGAAACTGCGCCACCGGAGTCGGGCCAATGCCGGGAATCGGTTCAACGAAGCCCACGACTTTTCTCTGGGCCACGTCTGCACAATGCCCACTGACTGGTCTCAACTCGTTGTTTGCTGCTTTGGGTCCAGGCTCGAACCGAATGGTACCCCCACCAACTGTTGTAAAGGAGCTGAGTTGTGCCAGCTGAAATTGAACCCGCATCCTATGTCATCGGGTTGTTCATACGCAAATTCCGAACGGAGCCTTCCCAAGAAGCCATCAAAATCGATCAATTAGTACGTGCACCAGATTCTGTGCGGGGCGTGCCACTACATGTCGCATGCAACCGGTATCAAGGGTTTGGCCCATAGCCTATACAGCCCAACCTCAGCTTTATAGCATCTTCTTCCAACACACACACACAGAATCTGTGCATGCAAACAAACATGCAGTGCCGTGAGCTGCTCGCACGGCGCACTCACTGATGTGCATGCCTGGTTAACAGCTTGGTGCTGAGCGATCCTTGGGATGACGGCTTCAAACCGGCACGGTCTCCGACTTGGGAGTCGGAGCAGCGGACGGGGGTCTCTCCGGCCCTGGTCCCACTGCTGCGGTGGTGCGGCATGGCAGGCAGCGGCCGGTGGTTGCACGGCGGTAGCTGCACATCAAGATGTTCAGGCCCTGCAGCCGGAAGAAGCACATCAAAATCAGCAAGGCGATGATGTTGAAGAAGATGGTCTCCTGCGGTATTGCTGCGGATGGCAGCATCCATGCACTCAGAGAAGGCATCAAGTTGAAAAACCAGGTGCGAAGTGACTCCCGTTTTCTGTGTCCTCGGTTGAGGTGTCGCTTCTCGGCCAAATCTCATCCATTCCAAGACTCACCAGGGCATCGTCACAGGACAAGACCTTGGCAGCATATTCGGGCAGTGACGGCAGAATGAAAAAGACGACAAACCTGGAAAAAGAGCTCGTAACTGAGAAATTCACCGCAAATGTTCATCTAATGTGGCACTTAGATGGCTTGAACCCTACCTGCTTGCCGGAAATATGTGCGGGTTCACCCTAACCATGTCGCCAGCGTTAAACTGAACACCATACTTTGCTGACTCTCGCAACTCGCCCAAGGCAAGCAAGGCTCACGACAACATCATACTTAGGATGCGAGCTTCCATAACAGCACACTGATCCTTTCCAGCAACAAGAACCGAAGTGAATGCCGCACATACGCCCTGCGAACAGCCAAGGCACCGGGCAAATGCCGCCAGCTGCCATCATTTCGTGTGAGGTGCAGCAGAAATCACAGGGCGAGTTGCCGCACTGGTCTGCTGGGTTTTGGCGCCACACTGCGGGATCGCACGAGGATTTGGGAGCACAGGTAAACTCATTGACGACCTCACACACGCAGGAACTCACAGGGAGATTGCAACATAACCTCGCTGACTGCAGAATGTTTGCCTTCGCAAAGAACAACAACCTGGAACAGCTTCCTGCGGTGCAAAATGTGTGGACCAAACCCTTCCCAGCTTGACACCATCACAATTCTGCACCGAGCTGCGGTAGCTTGGACGGCGTACCGAGCGACCATGAGATAGCTCAGGGCATTGAAAGGCTGCGGCAAATCCTCCACCTGATGGAAATTTCAAAAGTGCAAAACACTGGGGATGAGATGCTTCGCAATGGCCCCAATTTCCCTGGCACCTTGATGAAGATTCCCGACAGCAAGAGCTGCGGCATTATCAAGCCGGGTGCAATGGAGAGGGCCAGGTTCACACTGGGCACGGCGGCGGAGACCATGAACCCCACGCCGGCCCCACAATTGGAAACCACCGCCATGATGGCATAGAACCAAAGAACGCGATCAGCTGATTCCCCGTTGAAGCCAATTAGTGGGTAGCTGATGGCTACCACGAGGATGGGGAAGAGGCATTGCATCACAGTGTCGATGGAAACCTTGGCCAAGTAGAACGCCGCTGGGTGGTAGAGCTTGTCCTGCGTCTCGCGCAAGAACACTGCCCGCTCCGCAGGGAAGGCGTTGACGACCCCCAGCAGAGCAAACAGAAATTGGGCAAAGACGAGGAGGAAGCTGGAGAACAAGCGCGGGGAGAGGCTTGACATGTTGCGCTCGAGCTGCAGGAAGATCAAGCCGATTAAAAGTGCGGATGCAACCGATTGGACGGCGCGAACGACTGTCAGGGCTTTGTTCCGCTTCACGTTGACCAGCTCCTCATGGATCGGATGACCGCTGCGTAACATACAGTTGCCCAGTGCAAGGTTTTGCTTGCATATTCACGTTTCAAGACGCTCCATGGAAAACATTCGGGATTGGCCTCACGACACAGGATGTCAGATTAGTTCCCAAGTTACCTGCTTACTCAATGTTCCATTGAAAACATTCGGGATCATCCCTCCCGACTCCCGACACCGGATTCTATGGATCCCGGGCCCCAAGCTGCTCCCGCTTGAAAAGTACGACCACCTGCCCGCAGAGTCCAGCTCTCTTGGGAGGCGCTTCTGACTTCGCGGGTGACCCACGCTCCGTGAAGGAGGTCTCCTGCTCGGGGGTTGAGCCAGATGGATGGGGAATGATGGAAACCTGTGCCTGTTTGAGTTGCGCTTAGCTGGCTGAATGGCCCTGTTCTTTTTCATGCGATCCGAGTGTCCGAGAGTTGTTTCAGCTTTTGCAACTTCTCCGTGTATGCCCCGCGCGCGGCTTCCTCCGCTGGCACTTCAAGCAGATCCAGAAGGATCTCAGGAAGCGGCGTGCCTTCAGGACATGTGAAGCCCAGGCCGCCAAGAGATCCCCGCAAGCCAGAGATGACCCCATAGTACGCCACCTGGCTTTGCCGTGGGCTTCCCGTTTCTCGGATCATCTCGCTACTCGTTCGTGGGAGTTGGGCCGAACAAAAACACCGCAAACATTCGCACTAATCTCGAACATGAGTTGAAACTCAAGCCAAGTGGCACGCCCCGTCTCCAAGAGCAAGACCTTGTCGAAGCGCGTGAAGACGGCTTCCGACGGCTGGTGGATGGTAGCGACGACTGT